ATAATACAGTGCACTTTGTAATACTTTTTACGAAAAATCATTTGAATCTTTAAAAAATGCATTGTTCTACATCTATCTAAAATTATGAATCAATCATTTTGACTATTTTGGTGATTTTAGTGTTAATCGCCACTGAAAAATTGTAACCACTCACAAACGAGAATTTGTTATCAGAGGACTCGAGAAGAATTTGTTTTTATAATTGGTAAATTAATAATTGACAAGGATGAGGTTAATTACCAGAGAAATCATAAATAACAAAATTTCTATTCTTTTTACAAATAGAAGCAGGAAACTTCGAATAATTCAAATTTGATTTCTCTTTTTAATATTAGATCTTCTTTATGTTGGAACTATTGGGACAGTTGCGATCTCGTCTGATCATAAATTAATAGCTGTATTATCTGTTCGTGTCGTTATTTAAACATTTATAATATAATTTATATTCTTCTAGTGCCACAGATTATTTTCGTTCAATTCATAAAACTAGGGCAAACGATGGCTCACTATATTTTCTTACATTATGTGTCGTAAGTAGAGAGAATGGGTAGATTATCTCATCATCAATATCATTGGGTATGAATAAGACACGTGTATTATGTCGAATGTTATTACCGAGACATTTCTCAGAAATACAAAAACGAAAATGTAAATATTGCCCGTAGCCTCGAGGCTGATCGAACAAGTCCGAATATTTACGCTTCTCAGTCGTACAGAAGTTATCGAAAGCGTAACATTCGTGTGAAGTACAGCCAGTTAAGTGCGTATTAACATTATCGCGTTTCAACTGATTCGCTTGTGAGCGAGTTAATTTGTAAAAATGGGTTGGAGTCGAACAAATAACGTTATTCTGTAACTGAAAAAAAGCAGCCGAAATAGTTAACAAAAGTCGTAAAGTGAAATGAATTTACTAAACGACTCCGATAATTATGGAGAAAGAAAAAATTATGGATGATTGCAGTGTCTAATGTAATACGTATAACGTCAAATTCGAGCTTGATTACGAGACAAATTGCGGAAAAAAACATTACTACAAACGTGAGGAATGTTCGACGTCTTTTAAAGAATTATGAACATTCTAAACGATAAAAATTGCAACAAAAATCTTGGTTAAAGGAAGAGATTAAGCTGTACACGTGTTTATACGAGTAAGAAATGACGAGAAGTCGCATTACCGATGAAAAGTGGTTCAATCTAGATGTATCTGATGATCTTCACTATTATCATGATTTATGAAAGGAGCAACAATTTTGGAGTCGTTCATGAGAGGCGGCGGTATAGTAATTGGGGAGATATTGATTACCATGGTAAGATGGAAATAAAATTTATTAGAGGAAAATTAAATAGTAGAAGATATGTTGAAATGATTGACGAACAGAGATTAATACGTATGCGATACGAATTGCCAGAAATAAGTATATTTTTATACATCAATATGATAACATGGCCGTGCAAACTACGAAAGCAGTGAAACGATACTTTGCAAACAAAAAAATGCATGTTTTAGAACGGTAGTAAATTGTTGGGGAAATTTGACGAAGATCGTTCATCAGAATGGAAGATAATTCGCAAATATTAATGAATTTAAAATGTATATTGTGGAAGAGTCGGAAGAATTGAGAAAAAGAATCATTGAAAAGCTATATAAATCTTTGCTTCGAAGAATGGTTATCAATTATCAAACTCATTCCTTTTGTGTCTGTCCATTGTGTCTCACGAAATTTGCTATCATTTTCATCCGCTAAATATTTCTATCTTCTTTCAATACAATGCAATAAAATATATTTCAAAAAGTTACTTATACACGTTGATAAAAGCACATATGGAAGAATGCGTATAAGATTTCGTATCATTTGTTTAATAAAAAGAAATTTTATTTTAAATAATTATTATTTTGAATTTTATTTTAAATAATTATTATTTTAAATTTTATTTTAAATAATTATTATTTTAAATTATTTTAAATAACTATTATTTTAAATAATTTTTAGAATGAGCTATCGTTTGAGTTGAAGTAGATCTGAACTATATACACACTCAAAGGTTCATTTTCACAACCTTCATTTCACTTCTAGATAAATTACAGATAAATATGTAGTTATCCGAAACGTAGTAAATCCACCTAAACGACGTGCCATTTAATATCTCGTGTGAACATTCGAAACGCATTCGAGACGGAAGAAGCAGCTATAAATGATTACGATTACTTCAGCTGATTTTCTCACAGCGACCGTCAAGCCTTAGCTGTTCTTTTTTAAAAAGTCGGTAAAATCGGTGGTCGCCGAGAGATAAGAAGTAATCCGCGCGGTTATCCGCTTCTCGCAATTTCCTTTTCGTTGTCGACTCGCTTGTCCAAGCGGTGACATTTATCGAAGGAAAGAATGAAATGACCTGACAGCGGCCGGCGGCTTGGCAACGTTGATAACTAGCATGACACAGGCCTCGACGTTTCCTGATTCGGCTTTCTACGTTTCACTTATCTTCAACTTCGTTCCGATGGCCGATGAAACCGAGCGTCAAGATACGATCGCCGCCATGGTTTCGACGTTTCGATTCGCGTGACACGTTCAATACGATCGAGCCGCGAGTTCCACGAATCGCAAGGATCTTTGTCCGCCGTCGATGCGAGCAATTTCGAGGGAATTTGGTGAATGGGATAGGAAATCGAACGTACGGGAGTCTGCTCGAAGTCTTGCTGACGAAACGAAGTTGAATCGTGAAAATCGATTTTCCTCAATGTCAGAATTACGTTGTTCTCCTCCAGCTGTGTATTTTCTTCCTGATTCCGCCTGGTTAGAACTAGCAAAGCGTAAAACTTGTATCCGAGAAACGAAAGGGAAGTGCCGAGGATAGGAGAAAATTTACGGTGCAATAAAGAACACAAGTTTATACATTTATATATTTTATGAAAAGTTTAGATTTTTAAACACAAACTGACCACTCTGGTGGCTTTAGTATTAATGGACGTAGGTAATTTTTATTTACTTAAAGTGAATAATAAAATACAATAAACTATATAGTGTTAACACACCGTAGATTTCTCTGCGTATTCAAATTCATATTTTTGTAAAAATAATCTGAAACATAAGAGGTTTCATTCACCTAACGAAAACTACGAGTACTGAATTTTGAATGTTTCGTGCATTTTTTTGTGAGTTCATATCGAATTAACATATAAATGCATAAAAATTCTCTTGTTACAAAATTATTTTTTAAAAATACCTTGTGCTACGAAGCGTTTAGCTTTCAAACGCGTCTTAATATAAATTTTCTGTCTCTGTTCGCAGGTATACCAAGGTCTGGACATCATCACGGCGAAAGTGACAGAAGAGGAGAGGAAAATGGCTCCGCACCACATGCTGGATATCGTAGATCCTCTGAATCCTAGTTACACGGTGGTTCAGTTCAGGAATACGGCCGCACCTATCGTAATTTCCCTCTTTTTCCGTTTTCTCGTCTTTCGTTTCCCCGTTTCTCTATGAAAGTATTCCCCGAAACTCGACACATAATAGTGCGTAACAGTGAAACGTGTGTACGACGACGAAAAGTCCGTTGCATGGAAAGTCAGAGCTCGCAACAGAAAGCAAGGACTCTCTTCGTCCAGTGTTCGTTTGTAAGTGATTCGGTTCAGCAACTTTCGTTCCTCGAGAAACCAGAAACTAGAAAGAAAAACGGGTGGGGGAAAAAAATGGAAATGAAATGGAGGTGGGAGAAATAATTCTGCGTCTGTGGAACTTTCGATTATAGCTCGGATATCGAGTCGTCGCCCCGGCGATGCGATAATTAATAAGCAGCGTATGAAATTATCGACGCCCGCTGCAAAACCACCTCGAGCCACGCTTTTGCATTTTCACTTCACCGCGGGCGATAGTATGCGCGCGAACGTTCCGGTATACATATACACACACGCTTTAGATACTAGATGCCAACTGCTTCCCCGCTAAACCCATGATTCGCTCTCCCTCTTGTCTCTAACACCCTCTTAGAGTCTAATTCACCCGTGGCAAGTGCCACACGTGATTTTCTATTTTTCCTTTTCTCGTTTCCCGAAAAGAGAGAAAGAGAGAGAGAGAGAGAGAGAGAGAGAGAGAAAAGAGGAAACGCTTCGTAAAATGCAAATGTTCGAACGAAGCTGGACGATAGACATGACACGAAGAGGAGGGATACCATGATATAGTTGTAGCATTCCACGGTCCCTCTGCCACCGATTTTCAATGCACGTTGCACGCGCCAGCTTTTACCTTCCCTCGAACGTTCCTCTTCTTCTTCTTTCGCCGATCTAGATCAACGATCTGCTCGCGAGGAGAAAACTCCCGATCATCGTCGGTGGGACCAACTATTACATAGAGTCTATACTCTGGGAGATTCTGATAGAGAAGGACAGGCAACGGATGGACGAAGTGGATGATGTGTCGCGGTCAAAGAGGATGAAAGTGGAATTGGATCGGTCGACCACGAGGAGCAACGAGGAACTCTACCAGGAGCTGACTCGAATCGATCCGGAAATGGCTAAGACGTTTCATCCGAACAACAGGAGGAAGATCATTCGGTGAGTGGCTTTGCATAATTACTACACTGTGAATAACATGAAGTACAAACGATTTCATTGCGAGAATGAACTTGGTAGTTCTTGGTTGTTCTTAGAAAGCGAACTTGTTGAAAAGTAGATTATATATATTATTAATGCGAATAATGTTTGTCTAATTACATGTAATATTACATTGGCGATACATTGATATTTAAATATCATTACATTTATAATATTTATAATGTTTTTCAAATTACGTGTAATGTTAAATTTAAATATCATTATATTATATTATATTATATTAAACTGATATTTAATTGATCGATTGTTAGAAAATAATATGCTACAGTAAGTTTCGCGATTCTAATTGCCAAGAACTACTTCGTTCTCTGATATTTTTAACTGAGATAGAGAGTTAATCCCTTCCATTTGATCGAATTATTTAGGAATTCCATTTTTTCAATATTTAACACGTTCCATTCACTTTTATTAACATTCCATCGTTATTACGCGTCCGACAAATATTCGACGACTATAGCCGTCATGGCGTTCGAATCGCGTTGATTACCTTGTTTTACAAACCCATTAAAAATTACGTACTTACTATCGAGAAATCGGTTAAACTTTCGTTATTAAAAACGATCTCTCTTCTCGATATCTACTAGAGAAACTAATTTACGAAAATTTGTTTCGTCTTATAAAATAATAAATTTAGTCTTTTCTCTCTCTTTTTTTTTTGTTAGATATCTTACATCGAATTTCGAATTCGAATTTCTTCGATATAAACACCTTCAAATTTATACCTGAATTAACTTCAAATTTCAGTAATCTTCGTTTCAGTAATTCTTAAGTACTGTTAAGAAAGAACGAAAGAACGAAAGGAAGAAAAAGAAGAAAAGATAAATTACGAAACATGTCCGCGCATAATCTCTCGCCAGGGTAATTTTTTTCTCGCGTTGAAATGGTTTTCGTCGATCGAACTCCTAATTGAAAATGATAATCACGAATTGAAATTCGCGAGAACTCAAGTTATCGGCAAATGATTCAATCAAATGTCCACCCATTTCGTTTCAATTAACGTTGTCGAGTCAAATTGGATTTTCGCGTGTAATTAAACCGTATCAAGAGTTTCATCGAATTCAAGCAGATAATTCTCGCACGATGAACGTAATTGATCTGTTATTTCCGAAATTATTCGTTATGTCAATTTCGCTAATTTGGTAACTCAACTTCCATTGAATGCTCGTGCTTTTGTCATGGAGGAATCTCGATTATAGGCTGTTTATTATACATATTTAGGTTTTAGATTAGAATTTCTCTGACGTTGAATTTTTATTTTGTCTCGAGAGTTAACCTGCTTGTTGATCGTTTCAGAGTCAATCTGCGTTTTGCTTGGTAAAGATAAGCAAGGTCTATGTAAATTGCTAAAGACAAACATTGTTTTAAAGTCAAAACAAAATTGTATATTATAATTAACGTACAATATTTATTAATTATATATTAAAATTATATTATTATACAAAATATACAAACGGTACAAATTAAATTTTACTTATTTATTTTTTATTCGATACAAAAGGTACAAATTAAATTTTACTTATTTATTTTTTACTCGATACAAAAGGTACAAATTAAATTTTACTTATTTATTTTTTACTCGATACAAAATTTTACTCACTTATTTTTACTCGATACAGTTTTACTTATTTACTTTTTACTTATTTATTTTTTACTCGATACAAATTTTACTTATTTATTTTTTAGAAAATAATTTTCATTACTTTAAACTATAAATAATATTATTAATTTTAAACTATTACTAAAGTATATTTTTATTATAAAATTTTATTTAATTATAATATATATACATATATATATATAAATAATGTATAAAAATATAAATTTATATAAATAAATAAATATATATATATAAATTTATATTTTTATACGACATTATTTATTGGTAGGAATCTTTCATTTTAGAACCTTCGTCAATCACAGTTGTTGAAATTCAAACGAAAAGTTGAAAGATTTTCTCTCTGTCGGATAAACGATTCGGTGAACATAACGACGCGATAGTTGTGAGCGAGTCGGTGATAGTTGTGAGTCATAGGCACAAGGGAATTTCGAGGGAAACAAGGGAATTTCAGGGGGTTCGGCTGTTCTCCTCTAGCGTGGAACGATATCGTAATTCAGGCCACGACGCTCGTTCTGTTTATCATGCGACGAATCCCGTGATAAATTACGGTAATTACGTTTTCTTAGTCTCGCGGAGATGCAAATTACCTGCGCGCGACTGCCGGCCGGTGCCGGGATAATTGCGTGAAACCTTTAGCTGCGAATTGCCTGTCAAGGTTGCGGCGTCTCCTCGAGCCGGCTCTATTGAAAACGGCGCTTTCAACGATTGATTTTCAATGCCTGTCTCGTTTGCGCGTCCCGTTGCTGATAAACCAGCGCGCATAAACCGCCAGAACGAACCACGTTCAAAGCGATTCGATCTGCAGATTTCTGAATAGTCTGCTACTTGCGATCAGCAACGAGACGATCCTTCCATCCGTATGTCCGTTCGACGTAACTCGCCTTCTCAGTGATTGATTAGTCAGGTTTCGCATCATCTTGTTATATTGGGTCGGCCAAAAAATAACTGTATTTTTCTTTTTTTCCTTTTTGTGAATTTTTCGTGCTTTATCCAGACAATATATATATTTATATACATATATATATATTTTTATAACTTTATTAATTTTTATTATTTTCTAACTTTATTAAGACGATATATATATATATTTGACCATTTTGTTCGATCGCCTTTTGCCATTATTCGGGCAACTTCGTGATTCCGCGACTTCGAAAAAGTTTTTATCTTTCTCGACGAAAAATGTTCCGACACGTAGCTTTTAATTCTTATGTTTTTACTTTGAGAGTTTTGCCTTACTATGTTTTACTTTACTTTATTGTATCTTCTCTCTTCGTTGGAAAGAAAAAAAAACCAGATATTATTGTATTTTTGATGCAACGAAGTTTCTTGGAAATTTTAGAATTAAACAAATTCAATCTTTGTTTTAACCACGTGCGCTGGCAACTGATTGCGGACCATAACGAGTGACCGAACCGTACACGATCATTCGTCGCTTTCTTTTTCGAACTCGTCGGCATGATATCACCGGACAGAAATCATTGAGAAGCAATAAGTTTATTAGTAATAAATTTATTATTTGTTTCGCCTGTACATTTGGTTATACTTAAATATTTAAAACTGAGAAAATATCGCTATTTTGTGATAAAACATTGACGTGCATAGCACGTCATTACAGCGCAAGAGGTTAAAATTGTAACCATAACAGATGATTATAATAATCTGTCCCTGCTAGCTTGTCTTTTTCGATCAAGCGTTACCACGTTTTAATTAAGCGAGAGGGAGGGGGAGGGGGGGGGTCAGTTTCGCGGTCACGGGCGAAAATATAGCCGCAGACAGATCGCGTGTACGCATTATGCAAAGTGCCCTCTGTTCCCCGTAAAATCGGTCTCGAATATTGCCGGGCTCGAGAGAGCTGCGGTTTCCGATACCGTTTCGCACACGTTGTGCAACAGCCGTGATATCGAAAACAAACGGACAGAAATCGAGAGAACCGGACCACGTATCCGGCGTGTACTACTCTTAACGGAGGAGATTTTTGAAAGTCGTTGATCCCGTTTCAAAACGAGGCCCGTGCATACGTAAGAGGTGGTTTCGGTTCGGTTAATTATTCGAAGTATGCATCGTCGTGAAAGGTTTGTCTTGTAAAAAATATTCTGTTACATTACAAGAGATTGTTGCATGTGAAAAATTGATTTGGTGAATAGTACGCCATTACTTTGAAAGATTCATTCGATAAGGAAGAGGTATCTCGTAAAATAGAAAGTAGAGATTAATAAATCAGAATTTCCTTTTTTGAGACATTAATTTAACTCTGTAATGTCAGAGTATGATGAAAATTTCATCTTTGATATACATATGTATACACACTAGAGTTGTTACTTGTGAGATATCTGAATGATAGGCTAGGTATCTATTATTTCTACTCGTACGTCTACGATGTAATTTTTATTTTAACGATAGATAGTAAAACAACGAAGTAATTATTTTAATTATTTTAAATTAGGTGTCTTTGTATAAATATAATAGTAGCACTGAATTAACAATATTTCCAGTTGTGGAAAATATTCTTCCAAAGCTTGCCAAAAGTATTTTTTTAGCAAGTTTTACCAATCTTGGATATTTCTTTCTCTCCGTCATTCTAATGGATATAAATTATAATTTATTTTAGTACTTATCAGAGAAATATAAATTACTCGACACGTCGGATAACATTACATCGAATGTTCGGGTATCTCACGAGTATCTCTTGTTAGTATCTTATATACTCGGATAAAGATACAAACTCTAACACACACCACCGTCAGTTTTAGATAAAACCATATTTTCTTGGTAAATAAGGCTGTACTATTAAAGATACTGATATTTGTCTACTACTATTTAAGTTATATTTTTGATTAAAACGACACAGAGCTTATGTGTCTTTCGAACATGAAATTAACGAAGGCTCCAAACTTTTGACGTTAGTGCTACTTCCAGTGTTATTGTCTCGACAATTTTAAATTTCAAAAGTAACTTCCAATCTATTTATTTCGAAAGTCAAAGGATCGTATCGAGCAAATAGTAGAAAATTGTTAATTTTCATTTGTTACTCTTTCGAGAGATATAAGCTTGTAACAAGATGGGCGACACATATCCCGAGTATTATTGTCTCGACAATTTTAAATTTCGAAAGTAACTTCCAATCTATTTATTTCGAAAGTCAAAGGATTGTATCGAGCAAATAGTAGGAAATTGTTAATTTTCATTTGTCACTCTTTCGAGAGATACAAGCCTGCAACAAGATGGATGACACATCTCGAGTCGATTCCACCTGCTCCATTTTCGTTCGCTATCACTCGTGATATTACAGGCGGAGGAGCTACGACCAGCTGTCAGCCGGTGTAACAACTTTCCCAAGGTATAAATTTGTAGACCCGAGGAAGATCGCATCTTCGACTACGTGAAACGTCCCCCGGAAGTGTTCCCTTTAAATTGTTTCAACTGTTTCGTTCGAGCAGTGGTCAATAATGAGGCCAAATTGCCGGCGTTATTGCCACGCAATGATCTACGCGCACGCATACCACGATTATTGCAATTAGGCAACGTTTAATTAATATCGTTAATCATCGAGCGTTCAGAACGAATATCTAATTCGCGACCGTGAAGTCCTGCTATAATTCTGCGTGTAATCAAGGCAGTGTCTCACTTATCTTCCGGTGATTTCTTTTCTTGTTTTTAATATTAAATTCACGGAGTGTCGAGTTTGGAAGTCATTCTAATTAAACGTTGGTGATACGAAGTACAATTAAAATGAATTTTTCCGCTGCTTGACCGCGTGTTAATATGTTAATTGTGCATTTTAAAAATACCTCGAGACGCAACTCGAAGGATTCCAATCAGAATATTAAATTTGAACGCGCTAGAACGCGTGGTTTGAAACCGAGCAGAAATCACGTTAATTGCGAACCACAGTGGTAGATTTGACGCATGCTGATTTGACTCTATACGTAAATAACGAATTAAAAGATTCGTCGAGCGAACGAAACTTTTTCTGAAAGCGTAATTTTAATCGAGTTTCTGATAACAAGCGGTAAATATTAATGAACTAAAAAAGTTTCTCTCTAAATAAATCAGAGTGCAATAAATTGATATTAATCAGATCTATCCCCCCTCCCCCATTCCCCACCCAAAAAGGCAGCGTGATCGAAATAAATTAAGGTTGGTTCGCACGCGAGAGTCTTATCTGACACAACGAATCTTTCTCTGCAGACAACGTGTCGTTTATAAAAATTGCTCTGCCGCTCTAGACAGCTCAGTCGGATTATTCAAATTGGCGATGGTGAAAATAAAAATTCGGGGCATCCTAGCGGGATTTCTGCCAGGTCGAGGCCATTAATCGATTTTTATCGCAGTGGGAGAGCCTCGGCCGCACGAAATGATCGACAATGGCCAATTAGGGCAGGGCAGATACGTTTCTGGACAATTGTCGCGTTTTCGCTTTGGCTACCGGCAGCTGTCAGTGTTAAATCTTTTCCGCGGCAAACCTTTTCCGTATTTCCTTCGTTGAAAAGCCGGTGATCGTTTCACGGCACCTTGGTTTCAAACTTAGGCTAGGTTAGGGACCAGGTGTTCGAATTTTCCTTTGTACCGAGGCTCTCTGTACCGAGAAACACATTACTCTTTTGCTAGGCAGCTGGCCAAAGGCATCGTTGATGAATTGTTATTTTTGAAAAATCTACGAAGCACGAGACACGGAGAAAAGATGGGATTCATTGTGCCGGTGGTATGCAAACATCTGGTTGACAAACTTCTCTTTGAGAGAAAGTTCGCCTCCTTTGAAGGACGGAGCGTATCGAGATTTAGGCGTTTGCTGCTTTGTAACATTTCGTTGAGTTATTAGCAGTCAAGATCCTCGTGCTTCGCGAACGTTCACAGCGACGAGGATTTTAAATATAACTGAGATCCGAGAGAAACCTGGAATTTGGCTAGGATAGTCAAAGAGCGATCTTAAGGGCGAAGAGCGCGTCAAAGGGAATGAAAATGTCATTAGAAATCGCCATCAACCCTATCTTCAACCTTCTTTGAGTCGCGCTCTGTCCAATTTTACGTTTCAAGATGCCTGGCCTTTCGTTTCGATTTCTCCCCGAACGTTGGAACTCGTTTTTCATTGAAACGAGAGCCAGAGAGTTTGAAAGATAAAAATTGGAGGAATTACAGGCACGGTAGTTTGGAAGATTTACAGTAACAGATCGGGCATTTTTCTGACGAGCTCGAGCAACGAGCCGAGTCAAAAGCGTTGATGCCTCGCATCAGAATTCGTTTTTTGTAGCAAACTTTTCGGAACGTATCGGGACATCGTTGCGAAAGATATTATTATTGCGAGGAAAACGGCGTATCCGCGCCAATCGTTTGCCCCGTGTACGATCATTATCATGCGGCGAGCGTGTTCGGGTAAGTTTAAATCAAAATTTTAACGTCGTTAACTTCTTGTTTAATCATACGGCATCTTTCGGCGCATTTTGTTTTATGAACGAAGGGAGCAAAAACAAGGAAGCCAGACCGTGTGTGGAGTATCTTTTTTTTCTTTCTTTCTTTCTTTTCTTTTCTTTCCTTTTCTTTTTTTTTCCCCTTTTTCCCCACGGAAACTGATATATATTTTTTAAGCTGCTAGCCGGACTGTGGCTGGTTGCCTCTTAACAAGTGGAAACATTAGCAGACATTGTTAAGCAGCACGCTCACGAGATCGCGTGATTAAAGAACGCGTTGGGTAATTCATTTTGCGGCTGACAGATTGAAATTTTGATATCTCGACTTGGTCGTTTTATTGTTTCAACTTTTAATTGGCATCGTCGAGTCGTTTCGAATCGTTTAGAATTAAATCAGTTACGGTTAATTTTGGAACTTAGCTTCAACATCATTTTACATTGGTCGTGGATGTTTGTGCACTTTCATATTTTCGTGAACTAAAGAATTCAGATCTACGTAGAAATTTCACACGTTGAGTATTATAAAAAAAAAAAATATTCTACTTTTGGATATATTACCAAAATGTGGATGAATATCTGCAGTTTAATATCAGGGAGAACGTACGTAAGATACGAAATGAAATCAAGCATCGATTTTGTAATAAATTTTCTATATTATTTTAACATTTAACCGAACTAATCAATTTTGGACCGGTTTCATTATGAATTTCTCGTAAATAAAATTATAAAATTTCTAAAAGGGATTCGTCGTGAGAAATTCTTTCTTGTTTTTTTTTTCTAGCATTGCGTCAAGAAGAAATTAACCAAATCTATATAGAAACTTGACCGTGCTTGTGTAATATACAATTCTGGGCTAGGTTGAAACAGTAAGTCTGACGGTTGCCTAAAAATTAATTTAGTGCTCCGTTGCGTATCCGTTTGTACTATATATACAGAGTGTTCCATTTTAATCTACAAACACAATTATCTCCAAAACTATCTGTCATTTAAGAAAGCGTATCTCAAAAGCATTTTTTTTTCTGTACTATAAGAGAACAGTACTTTCGTACACTTAGTTTGTCTTTAGATAAATTTTTTTTTCTGTACTATAAGAGAACAGTACTTTGGTACACTTAGTTTGTCCTTAGATAAATACGTGTTGATCACTACTATTTTCAAGTGTAATTATGTAATTTTTTTTTACGTCAGTCGATGCAGCAAGTCATTTTCTATAAGAAAGTATTAACCTATATATATATATAAATCGAAAGACTTAGTTTAGAAGATACTTTAACTTTAATTTTATAAAATCTGCCACATTCTTGCATTCATACTGTTCTTGCCTCTTATGCACAGATTTTATAAAAAATCATTTTCTAAACTAATGGGTTTTAGACGTAGATCAATACTTTTTTTTGCAAAGAATTATTTACTGCATCGATTGACGCAAAAGAAATTATATAATTATAGTTGAAGAAATAGCAGTGGCCTTCGTATCTCTTACACGCGCCTGTCTAGAGACAAACTAACAAAGTGTGCCAAATTGCTGCCCTCTCGAAATAGAAAAAAAAAAAATGCATTTGTGACATTTTTTAAATGACGAATAGTTTCGGGGATAATTGCATTTATAGATCGAAAATGGGACACCCTGTGTGTGTATGAATGGTTGTACGCGGGCCACGTGTGGAACGGCAGGACCGTCTCGCGACTTCTTGGCGCCTGACGCGTTAGCTCTCCCGGAAACCAGTCGTTTCATTAATTTTCATGTAAAACGAGCGTGCTGTTTTTGTGAGTTTCAACTATACAACGTTTGTTTATTATTTTTATCAATCTTTCCACCGAATTTACGATCGTAATGCGCTGTAACGTGCTTTTTTACGATTGCCTCGAGTTGATTACGTAAAAACAGTTTACGAGAAGCGTAAAGATTGTTCCAAACGAGAGAAATTTATTTTGTATTATTTTCAACGCCGGGAAAGTGAAGTGATACGGATGACGCGTGAAGAAGTCTTGCAGTTGTAAAAAAAATATTAAAGTCACGTCGTAGTAAAAGAAACATTCGTTGAAAAACGAGCGAAAGGCTAAGAAACGGGAATGAAAAAGAACAAATTTTCGAAATTTCCATTCAACTCACATCGATATAAATTGATTGAAGAAATAGTGTGGCATTAACTATAAACGCAGTAACGACTATTGCACGTATTTTTGTCAATTTAGCCATTTCATGATCTTTATAATTTCAAGAATATATGTATAATAACAATTTTTATTGATGGTCTACTGTTTCGAGGGAGTTTCGAATCTCTAATGTATCGTTTATCACAAACAGGCTTGAACAGATTCGTTTTACTTATTAAAAATTATAACTTAATATATTATTAAAAAATAATATTAATAATAATATTATTAATATTAAAATTATTAAAAACTATAACTTAATATATCATTAAAATTATAATTTTATAACTTAATGTATTTCGTAGAATTTTGTACATTATATGTAGTTTTTCGCATAAGTGCATAACAATCCGCAGTCTAGTCTCATAAATCACGTGCTACATCATACATATATCCAGTGATTTTTATTATCGATCCATTTCCATTTGTAGATCGTGAAGAGATTTTTACCTCACGAAACAATAGTTCTCTCGAAGCGTCATAGTGACAATTTTCGGCACAGTATCGTCGAAATTTGTCTCGCGAAAGTCGCCTGAGAACCGGTAGAAGCATTTCCCTGTTTTCTTCACCCTGTACGGCTCTGGATCCTCCGTGGTCGATCGCGTTTTCTCCGCGGATGACGACGGAGTTTCACGACTGAGAGAAGTTTACGGCCTTGAAGCGGTCGAAAGCGGGCAGAGCGAACTTCCTCGAAGCAGAGGCTGTAAATCAGAACGTTCGTTCGTCCGTGTTTTGGTATTCCCGTGACACAATTTAGGATCTCGACACAAAGAGTTAATTGATTTACTTCCGTTCAGTCTTACTTGGAAGACCTTAACCCCTTGCGCCGGCAACCGGTTCGCGGACCGTAACGAGTGACCGAAACCGTATACGTCGTTTTCTTTTCCTTTTGAACTCGTCGGTACGATATCACCGGACAGAAATTATTACGATGTAATAAACTTATCTGGGTTGCGTTTAAATATACTTGAAACTGAGGAGAAATGTTGCAATTTTGGGACAAAAGATTCTCGACGTGCGTGACACGCTCATTCCAGCGCAAGAGGTTGAGGACCAGCCAGGCTCATGGTAATACTATTTTGTTCTTTTTTTCTCTTCAAGATTTCATCGATGTATTCATACGACGCGGCGAATTCTATAGTAATTAGCATAACGGCACACGAAGACAATTTTTTTTTACGTCGATGCTTCTTTTGTGAAATATTTATTTAGCTAAAAATTTCGGTTTTATGAAAACAATTATACCTACTGTGTATTCCCGTGCACGCAGAGATGATAATCATTTTGGATAAATTTCACCGTTACATTTATACTTTACATTTAGTTTGATACGTTCAGTTTCTATACTATAGGCGTCGTTAATCTCAGAGATAAATAGATCTATACACAGTGAGTCACAAAAAGTACTCGCACCATCCTTCTGCAATCTGCAAACATGAATTGGTATATCAATGAAAATAATAATTCAGCTTCATCATCTCGGCACACATCGTCGTTATGAAACCATATCAGTCGTTCAATGTTGACAGTTGCACGTGTACAGATATTTCTGTGACTCACTTCTGTATAATGTGCTTCAACTTCTAGCCGACGATATACAAATTTAATTTTTTCCTTAAATTTTCACTTTTAAATCGAAACCAACCAATTCCTTTCTACACAAATGTTTTTTATTATTTTCGTCGTGCGAACTGTACCGACTAATATATCAATCACGAGAGAATAAATGATCGATGATTGGTTGGTTTTCTCGACGATTGCTTTCTCCGATATTGTCAATTCGATCGATGATCGGCGACGAACAGAAGCGACGCGAGATATTGAATATCGAGTTCTTATGAAATTCGAGGCCCTCGGGACTTCTTTTATATGGCCGCAGGATCGTTGGAGCGTTGACTCGGTACGGATACAAGAAGGAACAGGCAACCGAGGCCAAGTAACACTAATTTGTAATGAATCAGCACTCGAGATAAGCTGCCAGCTTGTGCAATGATTTATAGCCACTCCTAAGCAAATTATGTAGATCGCGGTATTTGATTAGCACCGAGCAGATAGCACGCATAGGTCGATGTTGGTATCGCGAAACCTCTGACAATCACTGTAACCGAGTGTAAGTAGATGGAGTCTTCAACCCGCGATATTGATCGATTCTCTTCTCTTGATTTCATCCCCAGAGTTTCACTTTGATCACTCGATCCATCTTTGATTTTTTTTCTTCTCTCGTCGTATTCAATTGCAACATTGTTATTTTCGAGAGGAGATCGTGTAGAGCGATTCATTTCGACACATAAAACGGAGCTGATCCCATAAAAAACGATCTCGAACAATAATAATATAAAAAATAAAAATAATTGGACTCATACACACGGAACAAATATAAAAAAAATTTCGACACAGTAGGAGTTAGAATTTTTTTTCTTTTTCTTTTTTTTTTAGTCCTTGTAATTTTTCGTAGAATTTTGATTAATCTGCAACGGCATGTTTTTGAATTTTATAATCAAGTGATGCTTTGTAAAATGTGTTTATTTATTCACTTATTGATTTTACAACTTTCATACACAAGTACGTAAAAAAAAAAACGGACCTTTAATTTTTAATTCTTTCGACTTTAATTCGAAGCTGTTGAACACGTCGAAAGATTGTATCATCTTTTCAACATAATCAAAAACCTAGACAATTCTCTGTTTCTCAGATTCAATTCAAAATTTCAACTCTTTTGCAGAATAAAATCCCAACTGATCCTTTGGAGCCATAATGCGTTGAAAGATCTCCCACTCTCTCAATACCTTGATTAGTTCAATTAGGAATTTCCCCTAAAAAATTGAAGATTTCATTTGCGTTCGCAAAGTTTATCACTCCAACGCCCTTCGAAACTTATTCTCCAGTACCGTTTATTAGATTTTATTAATCTGTTGTTTCAGTCGTGTCCAACGATCGAAACAATCCTGTTTTGTGTTCCATCGAAACGATTGAAATTTGGTACTCGCTTTGGTTTAAACAATTACGCTGCAGAATGATGGGGAGGATAGAGAGAGCTGATGGTAATGGTGTGCATCGAGGAACGGCTGTGACGGCTCGGCGCGTGAAAGTTCCGCTCGCGTAATACGGGCCTAAGTTCGAGTAGTAAAGGGAATGCCCTCGTCTTTATCGTAGCCGGTGTTTCAGCATTGACCCCCGCCGCTTTAATAAAGCAGCGGGGTTTTCGATTCGATCTGTCTGGACACGCCCAGTGATCCTTTCACGCTTCTTTCTCAGCTTATCCGATCGTCCTTTCTCTTTCTCTCTTCCATTTTCTCTTTGTCTATCGCTCAAACCAGCTTGTCTTTGTCTTCTTAACCTCTTCCTATATTCGGTTTAGCAGAAATAAGTCTTATGCACGTTTCGTAAAAAAAAAAGGGAAGATGTACCCGGACCTCGGAGTATCTCGCGTAACACTTTCTCTGTCTCGACTGACATATTTCTGACGCGTGTTACATATCTCGTCACTTCCTTGCCACGAATTTTCTTAGTTTAGTAGGTTCGTCGCGAGAACGAATTTTCGATAATCCAGCCTGTTAGACAAGAAAGAAGCTTTATTTTCATTTAATTCAACCTTTTAATGCCTGATCGCTTTCATCTTTAGTCCCTTTCTTGCATTATCTTACATTTTCTCCGTGTGTATTTGCTATTAATGATTTCTCGATTCGTCGACATTGAAATCCATTATTATTGGTAGACATAGAACGCGAGAGGAATTGAAGAGTCCAATGAAAGAAGTGTGAAAAAGGATTTTCATTAATTTTGACAATGAGAGACAATGTAAGTGACGTCCCTTAATTTATAAACATAATCTTGGCAAAATATGAAAATGCTAAAGTAAAATTCTCGAGTGTTCAATACATTTTTCGCCGTTACTCTTCGGTTGTAACTTCACACGCTCATTCTCATCGAGATTTCCTTCTTCTTTGTTTTTGAAACCTTGAAGTCGTCAGTTATTGCGTTCAGCTCGTTGAGCGAGATGTTACATTAAATTATTGTATTACTAAAGCATATATTTACCGATTGACTCGAAGAAGTAAGAAGACGAAATTATGTGGAATTAGAGTAGTCGGCATTTAACGGCGAGCACTTAATGGCAGCACTTAAAGCGTATTAAAAACTCTTTTAGTTTTTGCGAGAGCGTGTGTAAAAATCACTCGCTCGAAGTACACAGTGTATAAGTTATATTTACAAGTCATTTTATATCCTGTTTGAAATAATAACTTCGGTAGAAACAGCGATGATTACGCGTGCATTGATTATCCAAAGCATCGATTTACACGGAAAATTGATTTCTCGATTCGTCGATTATCCGAACGTTGTAAATCGTAAGTTCTCATCAGTTGCCAGCCAAATGGAAGAAGGTGAAGTTACATCTGCCGATGTTTTTCGTTTGGAAATGAATTATGTTATGTTTAAAGAAGAATTAGTTGTCGCACCTAACGTATTAATTATGCTGTGCCAATATTTGATGTCCCAACAATGGAAGTACGTTTTCGCTCGTGACGATTGATACTTGAAACTCGCGTACACGACTTGCCAAGGTTTCCCTCACGATTTTTTTTATTCAGAGTTTTATTTAAACATGTCGTTCTTTGCAGTTTATAGTGTGAAAAAGCATTGCGTATGTTCTGCGTCTCAGTTACTCGACTCGCTTGACTAAACGTAATAAATTATTCAAATTCTGCTACATTTCTTTTCTTCATTCTCTGTGCGATTAAGATTTTTCTTCTTGAATCCGAGATTTGATAGTTTATAATTATTAGACTTGTATTAATATTAATGATGTTTAATTAACTAATAATCATTACCAGAATCAACGACTAATGACTATTGGGTTATTAGATTATTAAAAAATTTTACAAAATTGTAAAGATTGCAAATATCCAACGTGCAATGTTCTCTGTGCTATATTTATTGAGTGAAATAATTTTTTGAATCACATTTCTAAGAATACAAGTTTCAAAATCCATTTTATATATATATATATTTTTTTTTTTACGACTCGGTGCAATGTTGCTACAATAATTGAATGGAATCGTATTTATTGCTCAAAAATTTAACAAACATGATCCTTCGGGGATATTCCTAGTATCTTTTGTTCATCTCACAGGCAATTACACAGAGAGGAATTCTTTCGTATTAATAAAAAATTCCCTCGTTCGTCCCGAACAATTTCAATAAACATTATCGTCTATAGCTTGCTGTAGCAACACAGCCGATGCCCATTCATTATCCATTCATCCAAACATTTTTCTCGTTCGTTAAATACAGCCTCGTAAATTCATTACCGTGAAAGGAAACTTTATCTTCGAGATGCGTGCGCGTATTCCCTTTTCATTCTCATCTTCTCGTTCAACCACTCTGTGAATAGCGAAATTCATAAACACTCGTGCACAACGTGTCTTCCATTTGCAATTAGGCAAAGTTGTTTCATCGATAAAGCACACGACCCACTGTCGATACATCGGCTTGAAACACTGAACCTTTCACACGCGATAAATAATTAAAACCTGATAGATTTTGATGAAGACAATTTAATTAAAAAACGATAGATTTTTCAGGACAACGGGATAAAAGTTTGAATGGGTATTCTATGTGTTTATTGGGATTTTCATTTTCTTGGCGTGTTTTAAACGCTGTTTCAATGTTTTGTGTATGCAAAGAAAATATTTGTATTTGTTTAGGGAAATCATTGTTTCACGATTCTAAGTTTTGGCGTGCGTGTTCAATCTCTTGAGTCTTAAATTCCTTCGACATCTTCGTTCATTTTAATCCCAGAGATTTCGACGTAGAATTAGTTTCGTTTCGTAACATCTTCGACGTTGCAAATTAATTGTTAGGTCTGTTGGGTGAATCTTCTAGTTCATTTGATTTTTCGTCTGAATTTTAATGAATGAAAGATGTATACTCCTTGAGCAATATTCTCCAAGAAAAAGTTCAGGCGAAAAGAAATAGGAAAGAAATTGATTAAATATAGTAGAATCTCACTAAAATATTGTAAAATATGTAATAAAATACAGGGATTCCCCGCGTTTAAAAATTAAATCTGCTTTAGTCGAGCATCACACTGTTTCTTTGTCGTTACCGACTTCTTCTCATAAATTTCATAATTCCGTTTTTTGATGCGGCTACTCTTAACACAACTATACGAGTTAAATTCCTGTGAGATGAAAAGAATTTTATTACGTACGTCAATAACAAGTCGCAGAAAACATAGAAAATAAAAGTTGGCAAAATCATTAGCGACTTTAGATTATTCGCATTAGGCGAGGCAAATCCTCGTAGAGCGCGATTTCCTACAACGCGAAATTTCATACAGCTGCGTTTAAATTTCAAATTTATTTCAAAAAATTATTGTAAATTTTAAATTAAATTATTTATTTTAAATTTCAACAACGGGAAAATCTGCCGTACAAAGAGAGAGCCTTGATACACGTATGAAACGAAGTATACCTTTTATCCTTTGACATACGAACTAAATGAAATTTGGCGTTATCAAAGAAATATTTAGTTTTCACTTAACTAATTTTTTTAAACCCGGACAATTTATTTAAACCTAATAATTTATTTGCAATTTAATTATTTATTCATTTATTTATTTATTTAAATCTAATTTATTTACAATTTAATTATTTATTTAAACCTAATAATTTATTTACAATTTAATTATTTATTCATTTATTTATTCAAACCCAGTAATTTATTTACTATTTAATTATTTATTTATTTAAACCTAAATAAACCTAAACAATTTATCATACACTAGAAAATAATTTTCATACTCTTGTCGACAAAGTGTCTGTCAGAGTGTCATAAACGTACGTTACTTGTAAACATTAATAAAAAATTAATAAACGAACGAGGAAAGAACAAATTAAATAAATCGATAGACCTTGGGGAACGCGTGACGTCTTCACCTCAGACGTCATTGTATGTCAAGGGGTTAAGGTTCGATCGCCGGAGCCAGTTGCCGAGAATTTCCACGTGAGAAAGATGGCGTTAGCCGCGGAGTCGCGCGTGTCGTAAATTCCCCACCGGTCGGAAGGAAGAAAACAGCGAAAGAACAGCGTGGTAGCGTGAAAGTACTAGCGGAGAATTAAGCAAGTGTCTGGGCTATCGCCGAGCAACGTCGCCGAGCCTGTTGTATTTATTTCGAAGTTCCCCAGTTCGGCTCGTAGCTAGGAGCCTGACAAATGCAGATATCTTTACTGCGCATTATTTCGCGCTCTACAGCGCGACTGATAACGCCCGACTTAGCGCTATAAATTCTATTCTCCTTTTGCAATTGTTCTAGCGAAGTGACGGGCGGAGTGGAGGCGAGATATACGCGCATCTCGGCTAGTTTCAGCGAATTTATCAGCCAGTTTTCTTATTCCGTGGCCATCGTTCACCCCTCTAGATACCGACGCCCGGTTTCACGGTTGCGTTTCGCGATACAGTCTCTCTCTCTCTCTCTCTTTCTCTGTCTCAATTTGATAAATCACGTATTTGAGTTACATGGAAAGTCCTTTTAACGGTAGAACTACCGACGATTAAGGCATAAAGTGTTCATCAGAGACATTGAAGTCCAAACTTTATAATACAATGGCCTGTACAAACTTTTATTTGTATATTTCACGAAAGTTTATTTAAATCCTTATAAAAATACAATGTTCTACGTCCATAAAGTATCTAACAGAAATTATAAATTGGTCATTTTGATCGCTTTGGTAGTTCTAATGATGGTGTTATATCTAATCTCTGATAGTGTGGAGGGAGCTTCTGTTTTGTTTGGCTTTTTGCGCGATGTTTATAGAATCTCGCGAACGTGGGAAATTTCAAGCGATTTTCTGCGAGATCGCGAACAGACGTGCCGAGAGATCTATGCTCGATTAGTAGCGAAAGAATAGTAGACACCAACGGATTGGTTTTTTCATGATTACTGATTTTTAATATCACTCTGTCATTGTGTTGATTTTCATCGAGCAGTATTTTAGAAATTTCGTTCTAGGATATCTCCGTTCTAAATATGTTTAATAAATTATGTTAATAAAATTGACAATGATTCGTCTCGAGCGGGCAATTAGTGTCTAAATTATTTTGTAATTATTGTGTACTTTTTTGTGTACTAACAAAGTTTCACTGTTTTTCGTATAACAAACGTAGTCTATTAATAAAAGATGTTTATAATTGTCGAAATACTTACTTTTAGATGTGAGGATAGTGGATGTTAAATTATGTAGGAAACCTTGAAAAATATGTGTCTTGCACATGCATCTCTTTGATAAGTATAATGTAGCTCTATCGAAAATGTCCGTATATTGTGCAATCGCACACGAGCGTTACAAGTGTCGTAACGTATGCAACGTAACATTGTATGAACTCATACTGCTTAGAGAAGTAATAAATTTATTATTTTTTTGACCTGGGTTTAAATATATTTATTAATTATAAATATATTAAATAATATATTTTAAAATATATAATACTTAAATTATATATAATATATTATATTATATAATACTTAAATTATATATTTTATACATTTAAAACTGAGAAACTGTTGCAATTTTTGACAAAAAATTCTCGACGTGCGTGGCACGTCATTCCAGCGCAAGAGGTTAATATCGTCGTGCATTTTCTTCCAATGTCTCCTCTCGGATCTGCAACAGGTATCTTATCAGATATTAATCTTTCTCTAATGCCTCGTTGATAACGCTAAAAATTTCGAGGACTCTTCGTATCATCGCCATTCATCAAAGTAACATCATCAACTCGAGCCATTCTTCTCGCCATCTACTCCAACCGGAGTGAGAAGTATAGAGGGTGTTTCGTAACTTGTGGGAGCCCACTTCGGGAGCTGATTGTACGCCTAAAAATAATGAAAAAAAGTCACATAAATATATGTCCTATCTGTCTTCGTTTATGAGATATAATGAACTTTCTGTTTTAATTACTTTTACAAAAGATGCTCGAAATGACCACCTTGCATTTGAGGATAAGCCTGCACGCGTCTTGTCATTCATCTGGTTACTCTCTCTATCATTCCTGATGTTTCTCGAATTTGTCGGAAGCCTTGCTCTATTCTATTTCGTAGTATTTCAGCATTTTCAATCGATGTTGCGTATACAATNAGCAGGCCATGCAATAGGACCTCCACGACCGATCCATTTATTTGCAAAGTGTTGATTTAAAAATTGCCTAGCCACTCGGCTGAAACGCGGCGGAGCTCCATCATGCATAAACCGTATACGAAGTCTAATATCGACTGGAACTTCCTCTAATATTTCGTGTAAACGCGTGATCAAAAAACCAACGTACTTTGTGCCTGTTAGTTTCCCATCAAGAAAAAAAGGTCCAATTAAAAATTTATTCAATTATTCCTGCCCATACGTTTAAATTAAACTGGCGTTGATGTCTTGAATGCACGATAACATGTGGGTTTTCTTCATCCTAATTATGATTATTATGAAAATTGAATGTACCATCCGTGGTAAAACTGGCTTACTAGAGTTTGCTCTGTTTATAAAATTCATGATATCTCATGAACGAAGACAGATCGGACATATATTTATATGACTTTTTTCCATTATTTTTAGGCGTACAATCAGCTGCCGAAGTGGGCTCCCACAAAAATGTACCATATAACGAAACACCCTGTATATATATCGTACATTTCCTACGAACATTGGGCCACCCCAATGAATAGATTCACTTAAAAACGTCTGGCGTTGTCCCTCTTCTTTTTTACGCGGCCTCAGATCTCGAGATCCTAATATACCGTGGATACCGCCGCGTCCGCGCTTTCCTTCGCGCGATATAAATCGTCACCGAATATTTCACCGTATTTCTGTCAATAGGATAGGAGCCCGTTCCCTCCGTCTCGATCCTGAAAAAGGAGCACGAACTGGACGCGAGTGCGCCCAGAAGGGGGAAAAAAAGGGGGCCCTTCACGAGACGGGAGAAGGGGATAAATAGGATCGAGGGAAAGAGAGAGAGAGAGATGGGAGAAAAGGGAGAAGGTTGGCGAGATGAACAAAGGTCCAGACACAGAGAAAAGTAAGGAGAAATATTCCGGACGCGCTCCGCTGAGACAGGCCCTTGCAATCACTGTTTGAATCTTTGCCAGCTTTCTTCAAACCTTCCGCGTCTCCTACTATCTATCTGCTCCTTGTTCGCCTGTCTCTCTCTCTCTCTCTCTCTCTCTCTCTCTCTCTCTTTCGTTACTTCCTATCGGCTCCTTTTCTCTTTCTTCCCGGGGACTGGCTTGTCCTGCAGCCAGTTTTCTCTTAAACGCATGCCGATTTCGAGGGACGTAATAGGCGATTCCACTTGACGAATATACTCGCGACCCATCCGGTCTAGACGGCATTAAGCCACCGTTGCCGAGTGGAGACACCCAGGTCGCGCCCAGGCCGAAAAATAGGGATTTGCCGAGGCAGTTACTTTATCTTCAAGTTTCCCTCGAAATCGATAAAGGGCGAGTCCGAGTACTCCCCCCCCGGAACGTTGCTTTGTTTCGTGCCGAAGTATGTAGAATTAATTTTGTCAGCTGCGTCTCGAAAGACACAGAGAAGAGGCACGGTGCAGTTTTTCGAATATAATTCAATGTTCATCGTGATTTGTCGTGAGTGGATTTAATTTTATCCTTTTGTTCAATTTCGAGAGGTGATAATTTCTTTCTGTATGTTTCATTCCACTGAAAAATATGATTTTGGTTGTTCGTTGGTCTGCTTTGTGGTGAAATATATTATACATAGACTTATAAATTATATTATACATATATAATATATTAAAAATATATTATACATATTGTATATCTATATACTATATTATACGTAGAATAGATACTTATACTAGTATATACTACTTATATTATTTATACTAGTATATATTATATATATATGTATATATATATATATATATATATATATATACATTTATACTATGTATAATATACTATATCATATATAGAATAGATTTTGATAGTTGAATTTTGAATTTCATTCATACGGGATTCTAAAAAGATGACAAATAATTCGATTTTAGTTTAGAAAGAGGAGAGATAGATAAAGAAAAAACTATATTAGATTATAGCAAAGACTAACATGTGTAGACGTAGAATTTTGTTCACCTTAGTTAATTAAAGTGTCCCACTTTCCACGACATTGAAATTATGTTTATTGCACATTTTAACTGAAATTATATTTCTTAATACAACTTAATTAACTAAAGAAAAGACAAAGAAAATGATAAAGTATATAAAATTAATGATTAATAATTTTCAACAATTAATAATTTTCTTCGAACAGCGAACTATATTTAACCCTCAACTAATTTAATCCTATTTATATCCTATTAATTTATTTGAAAATTCTGAAATTCAGTAATCTAAATTATTACAATCTTCGATGGTTCGATCCATTCGCCAGTCACTCAAAATTGGACAAAAATGTTATTATAATTACACGACTGTCACACGTGACTCATCGTACCTTTAGAATATTCACTCGTTCGCGCGAAGTTCTATTTGCTCTCGTTTGTCTTCGACTTATCGTTGCTTCCGTTGTGTTTCTGTTCGTGTGTAAAAAAATGATACAACTTGGCGGGGACGAATCACGAAGCTTCTGAGCTTGTGTAACAAACTAGTACTGCGTGCGTTAATCGTCAACATCGGAGTCTAACATTGAAATATTTTTAATCGTCCGGCACGATAATGGTTGTGCAATATTAACGAGTTTGCAGCAACATCGCGACACTCGACTTTGTTCGCGCTCACTATCTCGCTATCAGATAATAGCTAGATCTTTTAAAGTTCTTCCCTTTTATCGGCACGAGATCTCTCGTCGCATCGAAAAATAAGTGTATCGCCCGTGAATTATTTACCATCGTAGAAATTTGAATTATTCTCGTTCGTCGAAAAAAAGATTGGAACACTTAGAATATTGGGGTTGCACAAATCTGGAAATCAATACGATTTCTGGGTAATTAAAACTTCACTCACCTTTGAAATTCTTCTTAAAATTGTATTTCTAAATTCAGAAATTAGATTAAACTTTTAATAAAAAAATTAATCGAAACTTGGTCAACTTTCGTAGGATTTCTTTTTTTACGTTTATAAATGCTTCCTTTAATTTCTTTTATATTAATTTATTCATTTCCCTTGTATTAATTTCTTCTTTTGTGTTTGTAAATTATTGTTGCATCGTACAATCTTTTATTTCATTCCTTTTGGACTTGGTCTATAATTATGTTCTAGTGTTCTGGGTGTTTTAGTTAATTTTTGTTGTTGTGTTGATAATATTTATCGCGTCGATGAATCATTCCCTCGCGGTCAGTTTCAAAAATTAATAGGGAAAACTTATATAAAAGTATGCAGCAGGACAAAAACATGTGACACAACTTTAAATAGTAATTAATTCAAAAAAACTTGGCTATCCAGGGACACGAACTTATTTCTCACTATGTCGATTCGTTAAGTAATGAATTGGAGCTGACCACAGTCGATTTTTAAGAGGCTGATACATGACCTCTGCATTTACAACTCGTAATTAGATTGAATTTTTATTCATTTTATTCGCGTGCGAAATCGAACAGAACTAACATAACATGGAAGTATATAAAATGTATCATTTATGTCCCGTTTCTCTAAAGAAATACACTTCAACCTATTTGTGACTTGCAACTTATCACTTAACGTTACAATCGGGAAATTATTATAAAACGTGAGTGGCAATTTTTTCTACAAAGTTGCCATTTTCTTTTTTCTTTTTTTCTTTTTTTTTTTTTTCACACAAAGTGGCAGCTTTGCCAGGGTCAGTTGCGCAAACATCGAAGCAAGGAAGCCTTGAAATCCCCGGTGTTAACGACTGTTGCATGATAATTAACTCGCGGGTACCAAGTTGCAAAACATTATGCACGCATGGCCTGTTTTCTCGAAGGAGGGAAGAGCGAATAATTTTCATAATGCGCTACTCATAACGCTACGATCCGGTTACGAACGGTCTCCTCGTCGCGTTTGCTTGGGATTCAACAAGAATGGCATTGAAGTGTTCGCAGTCCATGGACGGGATGAAGTGTTTCGACTGCAATAGTCGATAGTTGCGGAAATGGTTGCCTGTTTACCGATAATAAACTGACAATGTTGTTCATTCAGCATTCCGGCACGTGGAAATGCATGACACGTGGACAGAGTAAGTGTTTTTGTTACATGTTGCCGTTCTTCTTTTTTCCCTGTTTTAATCATCCTTTTCCTTTTTTTTTTTTATCTTCCTCCTTTATTTATGACAAAATAGTTAGCCACACGAATCGGAAAATAGAAAAGTCTCGCGATGCACGCGTGCTTGGATGTTTGCATATTGATAAACACAACGTGCCGGCGCGATATTCTCTGCATGGAAGTATTTAGCGTGGTCTTGCGCAATGAAAACGTTTTATGAATTGTAGATGGAATTCTTTATTTCAAGCTTGAAAAATATATTAACCTCCGGGACGGATTGATTGAAGACCTTGGCGAGAATAATCTGTTCAAAAGTTTTTATGAGAAAAAAAACAAGAGAAGAAATAAAATCTTTATTACTCGTTGTTAGAAAATAACTAGCAGTGCAAACAACTCTTACTGATTCGTAGGTTTTATTATCAATCCAGTATCGTCAGTTTCCTTGATAATTTCTGGTTTTTTTCAAATATCTTTTTATACCGCACTGATCTACGATAACTATAGGCATTTCTTCAAGTGTTTCGTTTACTCACAAAGAATATACACGTATTCTGAATCGTTTCAGAAGTAGGCAGTGAAAGTTTTCAAGTAGTTCAATTTTCACGCTGCGAAGACAACATTCTTTTGTAATTGTTCTTGGCACCGATCGGCACTTTATGATATTAATATTAATTCAAATTTTATCTAAAATTTATAAATTATCAACTTATAATACAAGTTTAATCGTATTAATTTTATTTTATATATATATATATATATAATATAAATAAATTATATATATATAAATATTAATTTAATTAATAATTTAATTACAATTATATTTTATTAAAAGTATCAATGTTAATAATTTATTTAAAATTAAAATTTGATATATAATTTATATCAAATATAATAATATTATATAATTTTTTTATATTAATATAATATAAAAATATATACTATATATATAAATTATATATAAATTATATAATTTTTTATATTAATGTAATATAAAATATATAATATATTTAATATAATATAAAATAATTGTTTATAATAAAATTATATACAATTTATATGTAATAATATATAATATAATTAATATATATCGACTATAATTTTGTCAAAAAGTGAATTTATGGTTCTGATCTCTGGCGCTAAAATCTTCAGTTCGTACTCGGAAGGAACAAGAAAAAAATTGAAAATATGTCGCATGAGTCTCTGTCGCGAAATTGATACTTATGACTTACTCGGCGTGTAAACGCTGGTCCGTCGAGTCGAGTTGCATCTCCTCGCCAGCCGGTTTTACAGTTAAGGTACCGGCCTTGACACCGCGAACATTCAGGAAAAGGAATGTTAACAAACGGTTCACAGCTTCTCCGGTTCGGTGTTAGCCGCGGCTCGATGACCACCATTAACCCCGAACGTTTCAATTTCTTTCGCACTTCCTGCCTGTCCGACTGGAGCGGATTCGAATTTCCACTGGATCAATTTTATCGGCTCGTGTGTCGCGTCATTATACGACGCATCGTCGTTTCTATATTTAACCATGTCGATCAGTAAATCGCGCGAATTTGTGTTTTTACGATCACGATCGAAGAAACGGAACTCGTTGAATTTTTTTCAAGGGGGATCGTATTTTGAATATCTCGCGGTGTTTTGCGCGCGTTCGGTGCATTCTGTAGAGTTTTCTGTCTTTAAACATTCGCGCTGGAAACCGATTGCGGACCATAACGAGTGACCGAACCCGTATACAGTAATTCGTCGCTTTCTTTTTCAACTCGTCGGTACGATATCACTGGATGGAAATTATTGAGAAGTAATAAACTGATCATTTGTTTTGCCTGGGTTTAAATATATTTATTAAATAATAAATATATTATTTAAGTATATAATTAATAAATATATTTAAATATATTTATTAATTGCAATACCATTATTAATATTATTATAATAATATTATTTAAGTATATAATTAATGAATATAATTAAATATATTTAAATATAATATATTTATTATCTAAGTATATTTAAGTATGCTTAAAACTGAGAAAATGTTGCAATTTTGGGACAAAAAATTCTCGACATGCCTGGCACAAGAGGAAGCGAAGAAAATTATGAAAATTAGATAGTTTTGTTAATCAGTACTTGATTTCGAATAAATTTGAGAAAGTGAACAAGCGTTATCAATCGGTCAATAATAAAAATAGTTGAAAGTTATTTGTGTCGCAGTAAATTGTGGCAATTTAAAAGAAAAATGTTCATTTGGGGAACGAAATATTTTACACAGAAATAAATGTAGTTTGAAGACACTGTTGAGCAGGAGAAAAATTGCACGACTATTTATATAAGTTTTCTTAACTATGTTGAAGAGGAAGTGATCTGTAAAGATTTAGGGCAGACGGCTCAACTCGAGTGAGAGGATCGGTTCTACACGGAGGAAATGTCAGACTGTGCTACAAAGTTTGAAGACATTAGTCAAGTATTTTAGTCGGCCAACAACGCGTGGGGTATAGCCACATGTGTTTGAATTTCTGTTCCACACATTTAATATACACGTATTGTGGCAAGAATAACGTTGAATATAAAGGAAGTTGTAACAATCGAAAAACATTTCGACATTGATCAGTCATATAGACTCGAATAGAATAGCAAATTCTATTTCGTTGGAAGAAGAATTGTAATTAATCTGTTGTCTCTTGTCGTTAGACTGCGAGTTTTTACAAACATTATAGAAATTACATTGACGTGAATGCAGTGTATAATATAATGCAAGAAAAAAAAAAGTAAAATGTCTAAAATGAAACATTCGTTGTAACATTTGTAACGAAAATAAATTTTCACGTGGAGTTTAGAGTATTTCCATAAATATTCATGATCTAGTTATGGTGTTAAATAAATAGAATTCTTAAATAGAATATTAGTCATTCCATCACTTTTACAGATCGTGACTCTTTGTCAGTGCCCCTTCATTTATAATTTCGCTCTCACTATTTCAATAACTCTAATCGCTATATACACAATTTTTCCTTTCCAATTTTGCGCTCAAATCAAGTTACATCGTTACAAGTTTCTTCACTCATTCAATCACCTAAAAATAAGCAAGTTCCATTTTTATGTGTATAAAATAATGGACAAAAGTGTTTGCACAGGCTAGACTTCTTTTTAAATTTATAAATCCTTTTTGTCTTCTTTTAAAATTTCGTGTTTGAAGTTGAGTTTTAGATTGTTCCAAAAGTTTCTTAATATCCATATAATAGATAATGGATGTACACAGTATTTTGTATTCATGAATGTTATAGAACAATATACAGTCCATTTTGATAATTCCATCTTTCCAAAACTTCTGTGTTTTGCAAATAAAATACTGCGTTCGAAGCGCATTTTTTATATCAAGAATATTTCACAGCGAAGAGAATTTTTTAACGAAAGGAATAGACACGGTACATCGAAATGGTGCAATGTCGAAAAAGTAGAGCGTGCCTTAGATCGAATCTTAACGTTGCATGCGGACCGCGAAGGAAATATTTAGAGTAGCTTGCAATAATTCCACAGTCCGTAGTGTAATAATTTCAATCCTCGAAGAGTCGAGTTTACGTGGAATTTCAAAGAAAGCTGTCCGAACCAGCACGAATGTTTCTACGTTCAAAAGTTCAAGCAACGCAGAAGAAGAAACAAGCAAAGCCTAACCGGGGCCGAAAGGGAATAATCATAATAATAATAATAAAAGAAAAGCGATTAAAAGTCCCGTGGATACTCTTTCTAATTTTGAATCTCCATTCGATCCAGACACGCCAGGAGAGACATCCGCGCGCCTGAAAGACGTTTTCACTTCGAGGGAAGAAAATGTACGACTAGCGGGTGGCTCGACGTGACACGTGCCGTCTCTCATTCTCGCACGCGCGTGTTTCGAGGGAAACACAGTCCTTTTACGTAACCAGGCGTCTGGGCGTGTTCCTCTTGATGAAATTCCACGGTGATAGGAGCGGGCGATGTAATTGCGAGTCGAAATAACGCAATGGGGAACGATTATTTCGATCGAAATCGATCGGATAGGAGAAGAACTTCATCGAGATCTCGAGCGTTGATAGCTCGGTTGGTTTTCCTGTCGAGTTGCTTGAGATAGCAATGAGAATTTATTTACCTCGTGTTTCGTATGTACCTCTGCTACTTTTGTGGGAAGTGTAATATATATAGGAATTTTATTTTCTTATGTGAAAATATCGGAACTTTTTTTTTTGTAAGATTGCAATTTTTCTACTCGTAGAAACGTAGAATTGGAGTATTTGGATCGAACCTTTAATTTTCTAGTCAAGGAAAAGTCGAGTTGTTATTATTATTTATTTTGTAGGTATAGTGTTCTTTAAAAGCTACGTATTATAAATATCGTATACGTTATACATTCAAGTGTACCTTGCGTTTTAAAAGTAGAATTATCACTTTTAACGCGATGTCGTCTTGTCTTGTGGATTATGCTCTCAATGAACTCTCTAGTTTCTCGTCCAAAATACATTTGAAAAGATTTAGAGTGAAATCGGAGAGAAATGATCTCAAAGTTACTCTCATTTGATTTTTATTGCAAATATGAAAAACGTAATTATATTATTGAAATATAATTACGTTCTCTTGAAATCCCGTTTCCATCGTTATCGATGGCCCACCGAAATGCTGTTCTCGTGCTGCTTAACATGTTATTTGACATCGGGTAACTTCGATCTGACGAATATCATGTTGCGGTTGCGGTTGAGATATGCAGAATGAAGAATAACGCGATATTTCCCGCGGAATTTCAACGTACATCCTACTTACTTCAAATATACTCGCTAAAGAAATAAAATCGAAATTGCTGATACAACACAGTTGCTCAGTATTTGTTAAATATTAATATCGATGTGGTGTGTATTTCTTATTTTCTCTATTTATTATACAAATCGTGTATTTGTTTATTATAGATA